TTCATCCACTTCATCGTCGTCAGTGGCTGCAGCGGAGGAGATCAAGGTTTCGCCATCTTCACCAGAGGATCATCCGTTGGTTGGCTGCGTCGGCACAGGCTCACCGCGACAACTTCAGATAAGCGATTCGGTTATCGAAATAAACTCGTTAAACGGTAATGCATGTAGCTTACTCGCACTTGTAGACACGGGAAGCTCTGTTTCGTTTATCCAGGACTCCGTATGTAAAATTTTTTTTGGACAGAATACCAAATTCGACGATACCAGTTCAAATACTTTTCGTACACTAAACGGTTCGCCAATTATTGTTATCGGGAAAAAAGAACTCGATGTTGGATTAACGTTACTTCCGAACGTTTCGAATAGAGCCACTTTCAAAATTATTAGCAATGATACTTGGTCAACACATGCGATTTTGGGTCGCGATTTTTTGAACTCCAACGGTCTCACTCTCGTTTTTAAACCGTTTAATTCTGAATGTAAAGAACGAGTGGAATTACTTAATGAAGTCGCATCCGCCGATTGCGCCGCCGACTCTAACGCCGAAGACGATAATCCAACATCATCGATCGAAATAAACTCCGACTTCGGTAACAAATTCGATCAAAGAATCCGCGATGTCATACAAAACGTATATGAAGCGCCTATCGATACAATGGATGACAATTACTGCGTTACGGTTGCCTTACGCGATCACTCAATTTTTGCGTTTTCCCCAAGGAGATTTGCCTGGGCCGAGCGGTTACAGATCAGAGAGATTATTGACGACCTGATTTCCCGTGACATAATTCAAGAATCAACTTCACCATACTGTTCGCGTATCGTTCTTGCCAAAAAGAAAAATAACAAATTACGACTTTGCGTGGATCTCCGTCCATTAAATTCACGCGTCATAAAACAAAAGTACCCATTTCCAGTAATTGAAGATTTGTTAACTCAATTGGCCGACAAACCCGTTCTTACTCTACTCGATCTTAAAGAAAGTTTCCATTCCATTCGGGTTCATCCGGAATATACAAAATATTTCGCATTCGCCACTCCGGATGGCCAATATGAGTACAAACGTCTGCCTTTTGGATACTCCGAATCATCCGCAGAGTTTCAGAAAAGACTATTACAGATTCTGCGGCCGTTGACTAAACAAAATAAAATTCTCGTTTATATAGACGACATCCTCATCCCCACTGCTACAGTGGATGAGAATTTAGTAATCCTCTCGCAAGTTCTGAAACTGCTTCGTCAATATTCTTTCGAGGTCAATTTCGCTAAGTGCCAATTTCTAAAAAGTAAACTTGAATACCTAGGATACATAGTGTCGGATCAGGGCATCACTCTGAGTCACCGACACGTAAAAGCAGTAATTAAATTCCCCGTCCCTCGGAACGTTCACGAGTTACAACGATTTCTGGGACTCGTAAGTTACTTCCGAAAATTCGTACAAGGTTTCGCTGAGATAGCTAGACCACTTTACGCTTTTCTGAAGAAATCCTCAGTGTTCAAGTTTGACGAAAAATGCTTAGCTGCATTCGAGCAATTAAAATCTGCGCTAGTCACCTATCCGGTTTTGCGCCTGTATAGTCCGCGTCTAGAAACCCAATTGCATACCGATGCGAGTGCCGTTGCTCTCGCTGCGATACTACTACAAAAACAAGACAATGGCAAATGGGCGCCAGTGGCGTACTACAGTCAATCGACTAACGCGGCCGAAAGCCGATACCATTCCTTTGAATTGGAGATGTTGGCTGTTGTCAAAGCCGTTGAACGTTTCCATGTGTACTTATATGGTGTCGATTTCACCATTATTACTGACTGTAACGCACTGGTGCATGCGATTAACAAGGCTAACCTTAATCCGCGTATCGCTCGATGGACGCTTCGTTTACAAAATTATTCGTTCAAGATGGTCCATCGAAAGGGGAATAAGATGACCCATGTAGACGCACTTAGTCGCGCTGTTGCGTCAATCGAAATTCTTCTTTTAGAAAAGGAATTAAAATATCGGCAATTAACCGATCCTCTAATTAAGGAACTCGCTGATCACTTAGAAGAATCGGAAAACGAGGATTTTGAACTAGTTGAAGGCCTTGTATATCGCAGATGCGACGACAAATTACGATTTTACGTGCCAGAATCTATGATACCAAATATAATAAAAGTCTATCACGATCAGAGTGCTCATTGCGGCATCGAGAAAACTGTTCAAGGGATCTGTGAAAATTACTGGTTTCCTTCCGTTCGAAAAAAAGTCAGGAATTACATTGAAAATTGTTTAGTGTGTCTCATAGCTAATTCAGCTCCCAACATTAAAGAAGGAGAAATCCAGCTTGTAGAAACACCTGCACTACCCTTTNAGGTTNTGCACACAGATCATCTCGGTCCATTTACCGAATCTGAAGGTTTTAAACATATCCTAGTCCTGATAGACTATTCTACACGATTTA